CGCGCCTCGAGGCCATCGAGCCCAACCCCTTCCCGGGTGGCATCCCTCATGTCGGAGCGCGCGCCCGCCCGCCCATGCTGAAGAGCTGCTCCTTTATCGCCTGACAACTCGAGCGGCAAAGAAACGGGGACAAGAGGAAGAGAAGCCGAGCTTGCGTTGTCTCTTTATTCTAAACAGACATGACGTAGTAAAAAAAACCCCCACCACCACCGAAGTATTTAAATTGCAGAGACGGGCTTGAGCCGTAAACCAGGCACTTGGCCAGAAGACTCCTCGGAGGAGATTTAATCTTTCTGGACCCAACATTAAGAGTCCCGTGGATACGAATACAGACCCAGACGCGCTCCTGTCTCGCGCATCCTTCTATGACACAGCACAGAAACACGCGGCTGTTTTTCAGTCCCTACGAAGTATGCCACGGTTGCCACAAGATGCAGTGTGCTTCTTTCTTGTTACACATCTGCTGCTGGAGCAAATGTTAAAGGCCAAAGAATGAAGGACAAGACATACCGAGGACTGACTTGCATTCATTCTGCTGGACACTCCAAGGGTCAGAGAAAAAACCAGGAGACAGACAGACAATAGCAGTAGGAGTAATTAAAAAATAATATTGCACTTAAATTAAAAAAGAAACTCAACAGGGAGACGTTCTCACAGACACAGCCTATCAAGTATCCCACTAGAAGGCTTCAATAAATAAACCCAGAAAGGGTTATGCCTTTCAGGCAGTTGAAGAGAAGCAGGAGAATTCCACATCTGTTAGTGGGAAGGACAATTAAGAAGGGCTTTTTGTCAAGAGGAAGCATGCCAAGGTGCTATTGTTCCCCCCCAAAAAAGTCTGCATGTGACCTCCCTCCCTCTTGGTCTCATGAAGATGTGGCAGTGTTGGCAATCCTCCCATTCATGAAAGCCACACTGGTCCCAACGTAGGTCTGCGTGCAGGAAGACTTCATAGCCCTGCCACCTCCAGAACAGCATGGTGGAAGAAAAGCTCTGGATTTCACAGTAGTTAGATGGAGTGTCTGATCCTTTGCTGCTTTGGTTGCCATGACTTCATCGTACCAGAGAAAAAAAGCAAGTTCTTGGGAAGAAGAAATGGTAGGCTGATTAGCTCTTTAACCCCAAGGCCCCTTTGGGTGGGAAGACAAGGTTCGTTTGTCCAGACAATCCCTTAACCAAAAAGATAATTATTTGTAAACATACTGTTCCTCAACAATTTTCTGGAGGGAGACCTAGCACCCTCTACAGTGAAGGGCTAGGTTTCTTCAGGCTAATGAGGTCCAAGTACAGCTCTGAGCGCAGGAAGCGGGGGTAGGAGTCCTTCTCCATCAAGCCATAAATCCGTCTTTGGGCAAGGTCAAAGCAGCCCCGACTGATGTTTTGCAAGTTCTCTTTGGTGTGTTCCCGGGTACAGGAGTCCAAGTTGACCTAGAGTACAGACACTGGTCACTGTCAGGCTCCTTATTCAGGTAGCTCAAGTATGACATTTGAGGGACAGATGAACAAATACCTGGCCAAATGCTGGTAGAATTGCAGTTCATTGCTTCCTACGCTAAACTGGAGGCAATTTAATTTTTAAGGAGTGGCGTAATGTCTGCTAGAATATCTAGTCACAAAGTATGCTTCAAAAACCTGCCAAGCCTATTCTGAGCTTACAGTGCAGAGAAGGCAAAAGCAGACAAAACGGAAGAACCGATGCCTCCACCAGCATCCTTCCAGATTTCGTGGGACGTCACAAACTTGGAACCGATTAAAGAGTCTACCTCTCTTCCAAAAGGGTCCTCAGCCTTGTCATTCTGATGAGATTAGGGCAGGAGGCAGGGCAAGGGACCCCAGCTTATCAGTTTTGAAAATCTGCTTAAATTTCAGCAGAGTCTATTCCAGACTCGAGCTGAGCAGAATTTCTACAAATCGCCAGCATCCCCACCGGGCTAGTGCCAACATTCAGACTGTTCTCACCCTCCGACAAAAGCCAACCATCCCTTCTACTACTTACTTCTTTGCAGGACTGGACAGCGATGTATTCTGTGAAAATCTTCTTGGCTCTGGCTGTCATCTTGGACTGGGACTTGATGTGCTTGTACTCCTCGCATGCCAGCCAGAACTCCAAGTTCTCCTCGCTGAACTCAGTGTGCAGGAAAGCACGGAAAGCGGCCACCCCGTCTGAGCAGGGATGAGAGGATACAGTGGCTGTTGTGATTAAGGGCAGGGAAGCGCCTATGCAACAGAGGCTCTGGGGCCTCTCTGGCAGACAAGATGAATGGGAGAGGGCGCTTCTGTTCCTTCGCCGAGGAACCAAAACAGGCAAACTGTATATCAAGAAGCACGTTCTCTCTGAAGAAAATGTTAAGGGCTTTGCACCCAGAGCAGATGTTGGATTAAAGGGGGTTTGGTTTGACTGCTGGATCTTCCAATATGGTATCTCTGGGGATACGAGAGGAGGCTGTTCCAAAACTCACAGAAATTTCTTTAAATTGAGCCTCTCCAATACAGATGCACAGCCAGTTGTGCAGATACATCTGCCTTTCTGGAGAAGCTGCAGAGTTGTTTTTAGGTACGCGTGCAAAGCTTGCAGCTTAATCAAAAGCCGGGCTGCATCTCCAGTTCAGTGGGGATCAGGTGGACAGTAACGGGAAAGTGGAAGTCCTGCTGCTAGTCAGAACGTGCAATACTTGGCTACTGTCAAGTCAGACAAGAGCTTGGCAATATTATTTTTAACAAAAGTTATCTACTTAAAAAGGTTACCTACTCACCCAGACAAGTACCAAGCTCCCATGAGCCAAGGCAGGAAAGGGAGAGAGCAAGAGGGGAAAGGAAAGGAGAAGGACTCCTACCCTAAAGCTTTGGTTATTCCCATCCCTGAATGTTTAAGATCTGAATTCGGAATTAATGGATAAGAGCTTGCTCAAAAGCTTAGAAAAGGGAAAGGAAAAGAAAAAAAGCTGCCAGATCTTTGACAATGTTAATTCAAACACTTTCAGCATTCTGGCTTGTAAAACTCAACACCAGAAAAGGCTCCTTACATTTATGTTGCAGCAGCTTTTCCAGTGAATCTCCCCACTTGAGAGCTTCTTCAGGAGGCGGCCTACAAAAGGCAAGAGGTAGAGAAGAGAGAGTAGTTTAACCACATTTTAAAATAGCCCAAGGAAAGATGGAACGACTGGCAAAAAACAACTCCCCACCACAGGGGTTTAGTAAAACCTCTCCTCATCAGAACTGGAAGCAGTTCTTGAACAAAAAGAAATACTTTGAGCAAACTAGCTCAAAAATTTTTATTTTATTTAACCTGCCCATCGTACTGTTTTGTTCTGCAGTAAGCAACATTATGCAGAGCACAGTGAAGGAGTAAGAAATAGTAGGCCAAAGGGACAAGGTAAGAAAAAACACTGGAAACCAAGCCTAGTTTAGTTCACAGCAACGCCATTCGCTCTCCCTCTCTCTCCATACGCTTCCTTGCTGCCTTCATGGCTTCCGGCACACCTGCAGGCCGCTTCATGCGCAGCATCCTGAACACGCACTGATCCAGACAAGGGATCCCAGCTTGCACGAAACAGCTGAGTGCGCCTGGGGTGAAACTGGGCTTTGGTTCGGCTTCTGGCTCATTGGTCAAAATGTGCCCCAACAGGCTGGACTACCTTTCCCACTGGCAGGCAACTCTGACCCTAACCCTACCCCTAACCTCGTCTGTACCTCTTCTATCTTAGGTTTTCAATCAGTTTTCTCCTAAACAATGGAAATTTCCATTTTCAGGGATTGCTTCATCACCACCATCATCCATGTACGTAAGATTCCAGACAGAAGTCCATTAACCATTTTCTGTCACTTTATACTACAAGGCTTCCACTAAATGTACAGCAAAGTCCAGTACATAAAATTTAAAGACCATCCAGCAAGGTGTTAGTACTTTGCATTTATGTAGAATTCTTTTCCTCAGAAAATATTTGCACGTATAAAAATATAAGTGAGGTTATAAAATATAAATTACACTAGACACAGAATATGTGAAGCTTTTTTCTTTATCTACAATACCGTGTATCTAGAACGCAGTGCAAAGGTCCCATTCTATTTTATACCTTCACCATAGTTAAATGCACATCAATGTGCCCTCTTTTCCATAATGTAGGCAGCTTCGGGTTGCTGAGCCTCAGAATACTGTCCACCCAAACAGACCCACAACAACTTCCTGAAAGTTATTGTGCCGGG